CCCTAGAATTATATCCTGGACCCTAGAATTATATCCTGGACCCTAGAATTATATCCTGGACCCTAGAATTATGAATAAAACAACTTTTTAAGGAATGAAGTTTAACTGTTTATATTTTTATACTTTTAAAATTTATATTTGAATGTTTTATTATGGAAACAAATTTGAATTATCAAGATATTTTAAAGCTTATAAACCTTTTCAACAAAATAATATTCACAAACTAAATATCAAAATGGAAATAAAAGAGATTTAAATGAATAATAATCTGGTTTAAGCAGAGATTTAATTCAGAACATTTCTGGAAGACTAAGCTGATAATCTTCAACATTGCGTAGTTTAAGCTAGAAATGAGCGCGTTCAGGCTTTTTTTCATTCTGTAACGGATATTTTTCGTTAAAGATCAATCTCGGGTTTTTTCAATTGTTCCTAAAAAATGATTTCGTTCATTCTCAAAATTTTTAATTATTTTCTATTTATTTTTTTAGTTTTCTCACTGAACGAATGTTCAGTAAAAAACATGTCTGAAAAAATCGTCTGCTCGTTAACAAAACTATTGGTTTTAAAAAAAGCTTTATCGGATTAACAATTCATTTATTTAAAACAACCATAATTTCAAAGAAAACTTTTTTTAATTCTTTTGTTTACTAAAATCGTTTTTTTTCTGTGCAAGAAAAATTTGCTTCGATTTCAAAAATCTTGTTTGTTCTGAAAAACTATGCCCATCTCTAGTTAAAACCTTAACAGATAATTTAGAAACTAGGGGCAAAAATTATCTCCCTTTTTCAATACTGAAATTTAAACCTTCAGAGTTGATTCTGAAAACATAATTAAAATAATGTTAAAATTCAGAATCTCATTCAGAACTTTTTTCAGAGAAATGGAAATGAGTTTTACTCCGGAACTGTTCCCTACAGAGAAAAAGATGAATAGATGAATGGAAGGATGAATAGTGATGAATCCAGTAAGACGGATGAGTGAAAGGTTTAGAATGGTTAGGATTGATTTATGCACAGTTCTTTGCTCTCTTCTCCTGGTTATCCTGCAAGCACCAGGTCAATTACATTACGATTCTTCTTTTTATCTTTCATAGCTAGAGATTGGTATAGTTTTTTTAAACGACCGAACTCGTTTAAACACAAGAGGGTGTCATTTAGAAAAAAAACTAATAATGGACGTACAAAATGGATCGTTCATAGAAAAAGAACAATGATTATTTTTTAACGAACGAAAAAATATGCCTAACGATTTAAAATCATTATAATGAAATCTTAAAAACGATCATGTTCTTGCTGAATGAACGACGAACGAATTTTTCAAACATTTTTTTTATAAATAGTGTTTTTTTTTACTGAAAGAACAATTGTATTGATCAAACTATTTTACTTAAAGATCGTTCAGTGAGAAAACGAACAAAATTAATGTTATTTTTAAACGAACGAACCACGCTTTTTTGAATAATTGAAAAAAAACGAAATGGGTAGTTCACGAACAATGAACGAACGAAATGTAAAAAGTCGAGCGTGTCCATCTCTAATCTGAAATAATCCTTTACCGTTCTGGTTTTTTTTTGTCTAATAAAGGGAGGGGGGAGGGGGGGGGGGTCGTTTAAAAATTCTAAATTGAGTTGGCTGAATTTGTACGTGAAAGTTTTCCGGGCCAAGCATGGTTTCCAAGTATATATTATGAATCATGAATCTAGATTTTAGATTTAGATTAAATTTAGTTAAACCTCCATAGTTAACAGTTTCACCTTGTATCGTTAATTAGCCCACACATTTAGTTTCTCAGAGATCAAAGTTAGAACATCACAATTTCAAGTTTTTCCAATCTTTCTACTCTTTCTAATCTGTCTAATATTTCTAATCTTTCTAATCGGTCTAACCTTTTTAATCTTTTCATGCTTTCTAATCTTTCTAATATTTCTATTCTGTCTATCCTTTCCATTCGTTCTAAACTTTCTAATCATTTTAATCTTTCTTAGCTTTTTAATCTTTCTAAGCTTTCTAATCTTTTAATTCTTTCTAATTTTTCTAATCTGTTTAGTCCTTCCAATCTTTCTAATCTTTTCATTCTTTGAAATCTTTCAAAGCTTTATAATCTTTCTAATCTTTCTAAATTTTCTAGTATTTCGTACCTTGATTAATAATTTATAATCCTTCTAAATTTTCTAATATTTCGTACCTTGATTAATACTTTCTAATATTTCTAATCTTTCTAATCCTTCTAATCTTTCTGATCTTTTCAATCTTTCTACTCTTTCTAATCTTTTTTATCTTTCTGATCTTTTCAATCATTCTATTCTTTCAAATCTTTCTACTCTTTCTTATCATTCTTATCTTTCTAATCTTTTTTATTTTTCTAATCTCTCTTATCTTTCTGATCTTTTCAATCATTCTACTCTTTCTAATCTTTCTTATCTTTCTAATCTTTCCAATCTTTCTACTCTTTCTAATCTTTCTTATCATTCTAATCTTTTCCATCTTTCTACTCTTTCTAATCTTTCTTATCTTTCTAATCTTTCCAATCTTTCTACCCTTTCTAATCTTTCTTATCTTTCTAATCTTACCAATCTTTCTACTCTTTCTAATCTTTCCAATTTTTCTACTCTTTCCAATCTTTCTACACTTTCTAATCTTTCTTATCTTTCTAATCTTACCAATATTTCTACTCTTTCTACTCTTTCTACTCTTTCTACTCTTTCTACTCTTTCTAATCTGTCTAATATTTCTAATCTTTCTAATCGGTCTAACCTTTATAATCTTTTCATGCTTTCTAATCTTTCTAATATTTCTATTCTGTCTATCCTTTCCATTCGTTCTAAACTTTCTAATCATTTTAATCTTTCTTAGCTTTTTAATCTTTCTAAGCTTTCTAATCTTTCAATTCTTTCTAATTTTTCTAATCTGTTTAGTCCTTCCAATCTTTCTAATCTTTTCATTCTTTGAAATCTTTCAAAGCTTTATAATCTTTCTAATCTTTCTAAATTTTCTAGTATTTCGTACCTTGATTAATAATTTATAATCCTTCTAAATTTTCTAATATTTCGTACCTTGATTAATACTTTCTAATATTTCTAATCTTTCTAATTTTTATAATTTTTTATCCTTATCTTTAAATCTTCAGAATCTTCTCAATCTTTAAATTTTTCTCAATCTTTACAATCTTCTCAATCTTTACAATCTTTACAATATTCTCAATCTGTGCAATCTTCTCAATCTTTACAATCTTTACAATCTTCTCAATCTTTACAATCTTCTCAGTCTTTACAATCTTTACAATTTTCTCAATCTTTACAATCTTTACAATCTTTACAATATTCTCAATCTTTACAATCTTTACAATCTTTACAATCTTCTCAATCTTTACAATCTTCTCAGTCTTTACAAACTTTACAATCTTTACAATATTTTCAATCTTTAAAATTTTCTCAATCTTTACAATCTTCTCAATCTTTACAATCTTTACAATCGTTATAGCAATTATTTTGTTTCAGTGGGAAGTGATGGGAATCCTGATGCGAAGCGTCTGTACGATGACCTACTCAGCGACTATAACAAGCTGGTCAGACCGGTCAAGAATGTGACCGATGCTGTAACAGTTCAATTTAAGCTCAAACTATCACAGCTTATTGATGTGGTAAGTAATCTAGAATTTAACTTAAGAATGTGTTAACCAATTACAAACATCTGCCTCTAGAATTACATATAAAAACACACATATATACATATATATACTAGGTTTATATGGCGCTTCGTGCTCATCTTCTTTTTCAGCTTTCATTTGTATCTTCTCTTTGTACAATAAAAAACAAAAACAAAAAAGTTCGCAATTTTTATAATATTTTTTTTGCGCATTTTCAAAAGTTTACAAATATTAAAAACTTTTCGACACACATTTTTTAAGCTTGAGCATACTTGATAGGTGCCGGTCAATGTCAATGTCAATGTCGAAGAAAGAAATGTGGCATAAAAAGCAGAAATGTTTAAATTATTACCAGAAAAATATGGTGCAAGGCTAAATTTTTTTTAATGATTAGGAAAATGATATGGGGCGAAGTATTCAAAAGCCTTAAGAACCGTGCAGACTGTGCGCAAATATATATGTTTATAATTTTTTGTGAAATTTATATATTCGTGTTTATAAAAATTATGATTTCCAAATGCTGAATTGTTAATTTAAAATAAGTTAGACGCTTTAAGTATATCTAAAAGATTTTGCTTTAAATTGCGGGAAATTAAACTTCAAAGGTTCAAAAGATTAACAAACTATAAATTACAACATCATTTACATTGCATACAGTGATACCCAGACCAGACAAACCTGAAACATGAAGACGACTTTATAGCAATACTTAAGTATATTTGAAGTTTTACTAGACACTTATGAAATCACTAATCAAGTGAAATAGGTCTGTTAACTATTCACAATTGTCTTGCACCATGTTCCAAATGAAAACACCTCAATTTTATATTTGGAAAAAAACCATTTTGGAGAAATCCTATAAATCAAATGTCTTTTTGTAGTCCAAACTTGTGTTAAAAAAAACCCTGAGCTGAAAACTTTAGAATGGCGGAAATCGAGATTAATGCTTGATCCTCTCTTTTTCTTTCTATCGAGACTAACCTAATCTTGTACTTGTATACAGAAAAGTGTATTAAATTCAACCAATCAGAGTCGTATGAAGCCGATAAATTTGAAATTTTGCGCGCCATTTAAGATTGTATACAGAAACGGGAGGAACTCTTTAATTTAGAAAAACCGTTTTTTGATTTTTCTCTGCTATATCCAAGAAATAACGGTTTAAGAAGAAAATCAAAAGTGTGTCCATTGGATACTCAGATTAAGTAATCTGGATTAAGGATATCTCATTCTAAAGTTTTCAGCTCAGGATTGTCAATGGCCAATTTTTGAGTCCAAAAGTTGTCCTCCTATTTTAATGTTTCTGGTTATCACTGTACCAGAAAATTTTAACGACAATAATTAATTCATTCATATATTTATTTCATTCTTTTTAATTCATCCGTCTTTTTACTCACTTTGTGATAAAAAAGATAAAGATTGAATGTAAATTAAGTTTTGAAATAATCCATATTTGTCAATTACTTTTATTTGTATATTTGGCTTTTTTGTTCAAATTTAGACTTTTAAAATCTACTTGAGGTCAAAACTTGGTGCTGTAAATTAATGGATTAAACGTATTCTTATTCGATATCCAATGGTGTTCTTACCCTGCAGGGATTACTAAAATTAAGCACTTATCAAATATAAAAGTTGTCACAGCGGAGATCAATATCAAGTGTTGGACTTTTTTGCCACACAAGTTTTGGCTTCTAAATATCTAACATCCAGTTTGTTTTTCATTGTTTAATTATAGAATCTGAGAAACCAGATAATGACGACCAACCTGTGGATTGAACAGCTGTGGCATGATTATAAACTTACCTGGAACCCTGAGGAATATGGTGGAGTGGATATTCTTCATGTACCCTCCAGACATATCTGGCTTCCAGATATTGTACTGTACAACAAGTTAGTATATAGTTCATGTACATGTACCCTCCAGACATAGCTGGCTACCAGATATTGTACTGTACACCAAGTTAGTTTCTACTACATGTACATGTACCCTCCAGATATAGCTGGCTTCCAGATATTGTACTGTACAACAAGTTAGTATCTACTACATGTACATGTACCCTCCAGACATATCTGGCTTCCAGATATTGTACTGTACAACAAGTTAGTTTCCGCTACATGTACATGTACTCTCCAGACATGGCTGGCTTCCATATATTGTACTGTACAACAAGTTAGTATCTACTACACTGGCTTCCAGATATTGTACTGTACAACAAGTTAGTATCTTTGGAAGAACATCTGACTACAATACTAAAGAATTAAAGTACAAAAAAAGCAACACAAACTTTAACTTATATCGCGCGCATATATGTTTATGTCAATACTTGTAATATATATATAATCACCAAGGAGTGTATGAACAGATTGTACCATGCAAAACGGAACGGTACACCAAATGTTTAAGCCCCTTTTGGGAAATTCTCGTGTTTTTGGGTCAAGTGGCATCACTTCATTAAAGTAAACCTTATTTTCAAAGAAAAAATAATTTATAAGGCGAAAAAACAAATTCGTGAAAAACGCAGAATTTGCGCGGAACCCTTTCCCTATTTCATTAGAAACCCTACACTCCCCCTTCTCCATTCAGAGAATTTTCTTTTATTAACAGATTTTGTATAAAGATTTATTAGAATGTGTTTGTACATACTTACTGCCATCTGGTATGTTTGTACAGTAAGTAATCACCTTTATAAAGGAAAGTTTTGTTTTACATAGAGCTGGGGAAAATCCTTTTTTATGATATTAAACAGAGAAAACCGTTACTTTGATCATAAGAACTAGCTAAGCTAGAAATGAACAGAAAATAAATAACGTTTGACGTTTAAAAAGTCTGAACAAATTAAAACGGTAAACGTTTAGATTTATGCCAACAACGAATGGTTACTTGATATTTTATTTAGGGTTTCCGTTCACAATATGGCCACTAATGGCGTAAAATTTGATCTACGTCCCTCGCTAACCTATGTATGCAAATTAAAAATATATCTTGTAGCCACAGCAAAAAATAGTGTTGGTAGGACAACAAATTAGTGTTCAAGTGTCACAAAGACTTACTGCATGTATAGTAATACATTTGCATTTTCTCAAAGGCTAGCTTTATTATACTGAACATATAAACATATATTTTTTTTCATTCTTAAGGCAATTTTTTTTACAAACGGTCAAACTTTTAAAAAATTGAAAAATATTGTCGCGTATTGTTGAAACCCTAATTTTAATTCATTAAACCGTTATTGAACGGATAAAATAAACGATCCCTAGTTTTACAATGGTGTGCTGAATTATGTAACGGTGTGCTGAATTATGTAACGGTGTGCTGAATTATGTAACGGTGTGCTGAATTAACGGTGTGCTGAATTATGAAACGGTGTGCTGAATTATGAAACGGTGTGCTGAATTATGAAATAGGATCGAACCACGAAGTTGCATTTATGAGGATTGATCATTCTTTTTACACAAATCATTTTAACATTTAATATTTATAAGAATGATATTTCTGAAAATAAAAATAAAAATACAAATATTAGTGTTTTGAGAAGAAAAATATATTTGTGGCTGCAATTTTCGATAGACATGTAAGCTTTAGATGACAAAAGATTACTTTAATTTCTTTAAATATGTAACAAACAAATTTCGAGCTCCGTGCATGCTATGAAGGTTTAAAATAAAAGATGGAGGCCTCAAAGTTGCACCAGTCTTTCCGAATAATAAAACTAAGTTTTTTCTTATATTGAGATCGGAGTCAGGGGCGTGTCCTGGGGGGGTCTACATTTTTTATCTTTCCAGGGGGGGGGGCTATGCACCCGTTGGGATCAGAAAACCCCCTGAAATCAAAAGATTTCACTGGTCCAAGGGGGTGGGCTTAGCCCCGTAAGCCCCCCCCCTGAATACGCCCCTGAGTGGAGTCTGTGTGGTCTATGTTGAAGTAAGTTAATGGTCACTTTTTATATTAATACTGGCAAAATACATTTATTATTAATTCAAGAAAAGAAAAATAACCTCATGTAATTAGTTTGGGTTGGTTCAATCAAAAACATTGAATCAAAGATTACAAAAAATGTTTAAAGTGTCTTCTGTCTTAGGAAATACAGTTTATCATCCAATCTAAAGTTCAATTTTTATCTTTACTAGCGTTTTATCTGGTAGCGTTTTATTTGGTAGCGTTTTATCTGGTAGCGTTTTATCTGGTAGCGTTTTATGAGCGTAGCGTTTTTATAGTAAGACCTTCTTGTGAAGGAAAAACCCTAAATCTTAGATGACACTTGTGTTCTATCTGTATTGTTTTTAAATCAACGGGGTTAAGGATCTGGATACCTACCTCAAATTCACATTTTCTAATTCCTCTAACGCAAACTAAAAGTAAATTGCAAGTGAAATGGAAATATTAAATAATTTTATCATAATTCTTCTTGTTGAAGAAGTATTGATAAGAAAAATTTTTAATTTCTATTTAATTTGCTTTTCTTCTTAAACTAGATAAGCTACGAGGTCCTAAAGGTGTACTAGTTATAACCTTCTCCTTCTGTATTTTCCTGATGGTGTAAACGTTATATTTTAAATTTTGACTACTTCAATTTATAGTTTAAAATATGAAAAGTCTACATACATCAAGTTGGCTGCAAAGATAAAACGATTAGAAATTAGATAGTAACGCTAGACTTCAGTCACTTTCAATGAAGGGGGGGGGCATGGCAATCCAATGCAATGGGTTGATAATTATTCATTTTTTTTGAAGATCACTGTTTTATCTATATAATAATTAAAGCTATTCGCTCATATATAAATTTGTTTATATATATTTATATGTCACCTACAGCTGGCGAAACTGCTGGACCAGATTGGCTGAACATTGAGGGATTCCATGGGTACCTTGGGGGTAACATAGGCTAAAAAATCGAATTTTCTAAATTAAAAATTTGATTTTTTAAAAAATTCAAATGTCTTTTAAATCTATTTTTTTATTTATTCCACCGACACTTGAGCTAATTATTAAATATTATATATTTTATAATTATTGTATATTTTATAATTATTATATATTTATAGTGCGGATGGAAATTTTGAAGTAACCCTAGCCACGAAGGCAACTCTGTACGCGAAGGGTCGTGTAGAATGGAAACCACCAGCTATCTATCATTCATCTTGTGAGATGGACGTAGAATATTTTCCATTTGACGAGCAGACTTGTATCATGAAGTTTGGTAGCTGGACATATGATGGATTCCAGGTAAACACTTTCATACAATTTGTATCTTTATGCTTTTAATTTTTATGAACTTTTAATTCAAAATCAATGGAGAAACCAAACAAAATTGACTCACAGCAATTAAAGACAATTAAAGTTTTGTTAAAAAACGCTATTCCAAAAGTAAAGTAAAAAATGTTTGAAAAAAATTTATTTTAATGGTTCTAACCTTCTAAAAAAATTAGTATTTCTTGTTCTAATTCGTATATATATAGCAATAGGAAATGCTAAATTTGAATTAACTGCTACTTCTATGTATAATTTAATTATCTAGGTTGACCTACGTCACAGAGACGAAATACCTAATAAGGATATTGTTGATATAGGTAATATTAACAAGTTAAATGGTTTTACACCAAACCCGGCTCTAAACAACAAAAACATACACTGAAGGACTACGCGTATTTTAAAGCTTCATTCAACAATCCATATATTCTTGCACCATTATTCATATCTTTCTTCATTTGCGCCTTTTTTAGTTTTTTTTGGTGGATTTCAAGAAGAACAAAATAATTTCGTTCGGTGCAATTTTGTCAATTTCATTCTTGACTAGGCCATGGGTCATGTTAGATAAATACCTCAAAACCTTGGGTCTGATCGTTTCAGCCGTTATGATGTTAACTGTATACAAAAGTCAAAAGACAAATGAAATGTCATATATTTCTATGAAATTTCCAATCTTTGAATTTCTTTTTCTATGAAATATCCTGTCAATGAAATGCCCTACCTTTGAATTTCTTTTTCTATGAAATATCCTGTCAATGAAATGTCCTATCTTTGAATTTCTTTTTCTATGAAATATCCTGTCAATAAAATGCCCTATCTTTGAATTTCTTTTTCTATGAAATAACCTGTCAATGAAATGTCCTATCTTTTGAATTTCTTTTTCTATGAAATATCCTGTCAATGAAATGTCCTATCTTTAACTTTCTTTTTCTATGAAATATCCTGTCAATGAAATGTCCTATCTTTGAATTTCTTTTTCTATGAAATATCCTGTCAATGAAATGTCCTGTCTATGAATTTCTTGTTCAATGAAATATCCTGTCAATGAATTGTCCTATCTATAAATTTCTTTTTCAGTGATATATTCTGTCTTTGCAATGTCCTATTTTTTTCAATGAAATGTCATATCGATGAAATGTCCTATCTATGACATTTCTTTTTCAATAAAATAGCTTGTCAATGAAATGTCCTATCTATGACATGTCTTTTTTATGAAATGACCCAACACAAAAAATTGTACATTGTACATTTACCAAACATTCAGCTAGTCAGTCTGTTCATCTGCATTACATTATTTATTCAGTAATATATGTTTTCACATGTATAATCTATCTATCCATCTACATTATTGGGAAGCTTTCAATAAATCAATTAAGATGTATCTACGTTACATCCATCTTTTTCTATTCGTATCTACATATATTTTATTATCCAACCAGGCTAGCTATCCAGCTATTTCTATAAATCCAACAGGGCTAGCTATCCAGCTATTTTAATACATCTAACAGGGGCTAGCTATCCAGCTATTTCTAAAAATTCAACTAGGCTAGCTATCCAGCTATTTCTATAAAACCAACAGGGCTAGCTATCCAGCTATTTCTATAAATCCAACCAGGCTAGCTATCCAACTTTATATTTCTATAAAGCCAACAGGGCTAGCTATCCAGCTATTTCTATAAATCCAACAGGGCTAGCTATCCAACTATTTCAATAAATCCAACAGGGCTAGCTATCCAGCTATTTCTATAAATTCAAACAGGCTAGCTATCCAGCTATTTCTATAAAACCAACAGGGCTAGCTATCCAGCTATTTCTATAAATACAACCAGGCTAGCTATCCATCTATTTCTATCAATGAAAAAGGGCTAGCTATCCATCTATTTCTATCAATGAAAAAGGGCTAGCTATCCATCTATTTCTATCAATGAAAAAGGGCTAGTTATCCAGCTATTTCTATAAAACCAACTTTTACTAACTTATTTTATCCTACCCAGCCATTTGTAAATTTCTACCCCCAACCATTTTTATACAGTTATCAATATAATTATGGATATATCCATTTCTATTCCAGTTAAGCATGTTTCATAGATATCTATGTACATTTATATTTCTATGTAGTTATTTTCTGAATTTCTGTATATAGTGATTATACTCCTATCCCGACTGAGTTTTAAATGAAAAGATATTAAAACTGATCTAAAACACATGGGTAAAGCTAAATTGTTTAATTAATCGGTTAATTTAAAATAAAAGAAACATATCTGACCCTTGTTCGTCTTAGGTGACCTTGGCATGGATTTATAAGTATACAAGCTAAAGTCTGCTGCATTACCCGTTTAAAAAAAAAAAAAAATAATTACAAAAAAATCAGTTTTTGAAAAAAAGTATTATATTTTTTAGCCTATGTTACCCGCGGGGTACTGAAGGGTTTCCTCAACAAATTTCAACCCATTCGGAAACAGTTATACAAATATACAAATAGATAGATATGAGCGAAGAGCTTTATTATATGGAAGATATAACTCAAGGTTTGATGTAATTTTAACGGTGGTGTGACACTGGACCCTGGAGTTTTGAAAAATATAGCAATTATTTAAATAAAAATTGAGACATTTGTTTATATCAATAGATAGAGCATATACGTCTATATATATATAAATTTGGCTTGTCTGTCTGGGTGGGTGTTTGGGTGTTTGTCTGTCTGTTTTTGTCCAATAAACGTCAAAACGGCTGAACCGATCGGGCTAAAATTTTTTGTGGAACATCTAGGGACCCCAGGGAAGGTTTATGAATGATTCCCATGTTTGCCTGGAAACGAAAATATTTCTTTAAAGGTTTAGTATACTCGGACTTGCAAGTTAAAACGTCCAAATCCAAATATGAACATTTTGATCGGGGTACTCGGTCAGAGCACCCCAATCAAAATATGAGACAAATCGGTCTAGAGTACATGACAGGACATTAAAATAATACTTTATTAATATATGGATATTTTTTTTATGTTGCATATGTCTACAATAAAACTGGACGTTCATATATATGTTCCCTATGGCTGGCCAAACGGCTAGACCGAAAGGGCTAACATTTTTTGTGGACACTCATGGATAGCCTGGGAGTGACAGGCTAAGAAAACCAATATAATTTTTTTTTTCACGGGCAACGCCAGGCACTTCTGATAGTCTTCTTTATATAAACTAAAGTTATAATCTCTGTTTGTTTGTATGTCTAATCTAAACTCTGAAATACTTTGACCGATATGCCTCAAATTTTGATTGGGAAGGGGAACACGGGAGACACATGGGAATGTTCTTAGCTTGATTTTGAGATTCTTAGTTTAATAGGAATAAAACTAGCTAGAATCGTAATTTACGACCAAGCGCGGGTAAACAGCGGGAGTAACATATAATGACTCCCCTGAAAGGAGTATGGAATATATTCCAAACTCCTTAGTACCCTGGCATCGCTGGTTTCTCGGGGTATTTTTTCATGAAATGTGTGAGTGAGGGGGGGGGGGTCTATAGTGAAAATTGTAATATTATCAAATTAAAATATTGGAATCTTATTTTCAATAAGTATGGAGTTGGGTTGTTTCAATTATTATTATTATTGAATATTTAAATGATAAAAATTCAAACATTTAGCCTTATTCTGTATTATGATAGAAAAACTCTGTTCTACACTGTAAACCTGATTATACCTTGCATGGGGATATCCTTCCTTACAGTCCTGGTGTTCTACCTTCCTTCAGATAGCGGGGAGAAGGTAAAGTAGTGTTGTACCTTCCTTCAGATAGCGGGTAGAAGGTATAGTAGGGTTGTACCTTCCTTCAGATAGCAGGGAGAGATAAAGTAGTGTTCTACCTTCCTCCAGATAGCGGGGAGAAGGTATAGAAGTATTCCAACTTCCTCCAGATAACAGAGAGAAGGTGGAGTATTGTTATACCTTCCTTCAGATAGCGGGGAGAAGGTTTAGAAGTATTCATAACTTCCTTCAGATAACAGGGAGAAGATACAGTGGTGGTCTACCTTACTTCAGATAGCGGGGAGAAGGTAGAGTAAAGGTCAACCTTCCTTCAGATATCCAGTGAAAGGTTGTGTGGTGTTCTACCTTTCTTCAGATAGCGGGTATAAGGTAGAGTAGTGTTCTACCTTCCTCCAGATAACAGATAGAAGGTGGAGTATTGTTCTACCTTCCTTCAGATATCAGGGAGAGAAAACGTAGTGTTATACCTTCCTCCAGAAAGCGGGGAGAAGGTTTAGAAGTATTCTACTTTCCTTCAGATAACAGGGAGAAGATAAAGTAGTGGTCTACCTTACTTCAGATAGCAGGGAGAAGGTAGAGTAAAGGTCAACCTTCCTTCAGATATCCAGTGAAAGGTTGTGTGGTGTTCTACCTTTCTTCAGATAGCGGGTATAAGGTAGAGTAGTATTCTACCTACCTTCAGATAGCGGGTATAAGGTAGAGTAGTGTTATACCTTCCTTCAGATAACAAGTAGAAGGTGGAATAGGGTTCTACCTTCCTTCAGATTGCGGGGAGAAGGTTATAGTAGTGTTTTACCTTCCTTCAAATAACCAGGAGAAGGTAGAGTAGGGTTCTACCTTCCTTAAGAAAACAGGGAAAGGTATAAAAGTGTTCTACCTTCCTTTAGATTCCAGGAAGAAGGTAGATTAGGATTGTACCTTCCTTAAGAAAACAGGGAAAAGGTAGAGTAGTGGTCTACCTTACTTTAGATAGAATGAACCAATCAAATAAACATTATAAAAGCAATATAAAAATGACATATTATATGGCCAATGACCATTTGTGCAAAAATGTGAATTTCAATTAAAAGTTTCAAAAATTTAAATAAATTAAAAGAAAATCCAATATTACTATATCACTGCTTTACTAACTATTGAGTGGTGTTTAAATGTGTCAATCCTATAGCATTGAATAGAAATAAAACGACATATTTAGTGCCTTTTTAATATAATCATATATCTAGGTTTCTCTTTCTATAATATATATTTATCTAGATATCCTTGTCAATTATGTATATCCCTGTCTATTAAATACATATATCTAGGTGTCCCTTTCTATTATTATACAAATATCTATGTATCCCTGTCTATTAAATGTATATGTCTGTCTATTAAATATATATATATCACTGCTTTACTAACTATTGAGTGGTGTTTAAATGTTTCAAACCTAGCTCATTGAATAGAAATAAAACGGCATATTTAGTGCCTTTTTAATATAATCATATATCTAGGTGTCCCTTTCTATTATATATATTTATCTAGATATCCTTGTCTATTATATGCATATATCTATTTGTCCCTTTCTATTATTATACAAATATTTATGTATCCCTGTCTATTAAATATATATATCTGTCTATTAAATATATATATATTTACATATATCCAGGTGTCCCTGTCTATCAGTATCCTACTCTCCTTAACTGTGTTCTTTCTCCTGCTAGCCGAGATTATTCCTCCCACCTCCCTGGTTGTTCCTCTACTAGGCAAATTTGTACTGTTCACCATGATCCTGGATACGTTCAGGTACCACCATAAACTAGGCAGAGGAGTAGATTGAATAGGCCTATGATAGGCCGGGTACTTCAAAAATTCTGGCCATGCCATCAAAGTTGAAACCGAGCAAACACAGGGATAAGGTCGGGCAAGTAAAAGCCGCGCATCACAAAGGCCGGTGCGGTTTAAATTAACTGTTATACACCGTACATAAAGTACATTCAGGTACATAGAGTACATTATTATGTATACATTCAGGTACATAGAGTACATTATCCTGAATACGTACCCTGCAAACATTTAGTCTCCGACAAACCAATGGTGAACATACAAAGTCTATAATTATTTACCCGACAACTTTGCCATCGGCACATATAGTTGGTAAAAATTTTCCTGGGACATTTTCATGGATACATTCATGTACATGGAGTAAAGTATCCTGGATACATTCAGGTACATAAAGTACATGATACTGGATACTTTTAGGTACATAGAGTACGTTATCCTGGATACTTTCAGGTATATAGAGTACATTATTCTAGATACTTTCAGATACATAGAGTACATTATCCTTGATACATTCAGATAAATAGAGTATATTATTCAGGATACATTTAGGTACATCATGGTTTATTATCCTGGATACATTCAGATATATAAAGTACTTTATCGTGGATACATTCATATATACATTAGTACATAATCCCGGATACACTATTGAGTACATTATCCTGGATACATTCAGGTACATTGAGTATATTATCCTGCATACATTCAGATACATATGAGTATATTATCACTTTCATTTCACTTATCATTAAGGGCAGAGACCGCCGTCTGTTTATCTCTAAATTGGTGTTAAAATTGCCGTAAAAACTGGAATGTTACAATCAGGAGAAGTCCATTATCCTTGATCAGTTAAAGGTTTAAAGGGAACTGTTGTGAATCAGACCAACAACTCTATAAATGAAGGTTCACTTGAAATAACGTATACAGTTCCTAGCTTGAGGTTCAAAATGAACATTCACGGTTTTTTGTTTTTAAAACTTTTCGAAATTTTATTTTACGCATGCTGTTGCTGATAAAAAATATTAATTTCTTCATTTCAATTCAAAGTTTAAATATATCTAGTATTTGAATATGTGATGAATATTGAATATATGTAGATATATGTATATGCATACATTACGAGTAAATTAGCTTTATATACTAAGTATGCTTCGATCAAGTTACAGTGTATACAATTACAATACTACATAAGTACATATATATGTATGGATGCAGACTCATTAACCCTGGGGTACTTGAAAACCAGGATAGGCTGGGGGGGGGGCATTTTGGCCCCCTCTAAATCCCATGTTTGAGGTTCAAACATGACAAATGATTAATCAAAATCATCGGCAAGCTCCGATGCTCTACTTTTAGAATCTGCCAAAAAAATTGCTAATTTGCAAAAATTGAATTTTTTTTTAGCAAAATCTAGTCATAAAGATAAAATGTTTCCAAAAATATAATAAATATACATTTTTTAAAAGACCTTGACCATGCTGTGTCAAATATGCTGAAAATTTTGCAAAATTTGAAATAACCTGATGTGTAATTAAGAAAAACTAAAAAATGTGCAAATTTCTTTTGACGGGTTGTGTGCAAATAATTTGCAAAAATTTATTTGCAAAACTTGTGCAATGTGTTTCTTAATGGTATATGCTTTCAGGCAGTTAGTATAGAAGCCCGGTTTTAGACCAAAAAACTACAGGGGTGATGGTGTAATTTTACCCCCCCCTGACCCCCCCCCCTGACCCCCCCCAGCAGGAATATGGTTAATAATTATCTACTTTACTAAAAAACGGATTGCTCAGGTATTTGACTAGATGGGATACAATTCATTTTATTTCTGTCTATCTGGTAATAACAGAAATTAAAAAATTTAATTGTAAATCCTAAAAAAAAAAATATATTTTATGAAAACCATGCAATGTTATATTTAAAGAGAGCATATTTTCAGCAAAGTGCTAAAATAAACATAACAAAAGCAAAATAAAGTTTAAATCAATGTTCAAGTTAAAACATGACTGAAGCTTAAATAGCATAAAATAAATCCCCAGAGATGGAATTTAAAGAATTTGAGCCGCGGTTTAAATCTGCCAAAACCCGGTTTAAATTAAGCGCCGGCTTAAATCTTGAAACATTTGATACAATTTCAAGTGGAACCAACCATATGTAAACCGCGGCTTAAATTTAAATCGCCGCTCAAATTCCTTAAATTAGGCCACTGAAGTCATAACTTTGTATTGTAAATCTCAGGATTAAGCATTGATCAACATCTTATTCAGATCTACAGATTAAATTAACTCCTCTTCGATATCTTGTGTTAGGTGTTCCCCACAGGGACAACTGTAATAAAGAGATCAAGGGATCAAGCATTGATCCTAAAATTTACTTTTGTCCACAGTATATATCAAGATCAAGCGTTCCCTACAGGGACAACTATTATAAAGGGATCAAGGGATCAAGCATTGATCCTAAAATTTACTTTTGTCCACAGTATATATCAAGATCAAGCGTTCCCTACAGGGACAACTATTATAAAGGGATCAAGGGATCAAGCATTGATCCTAAATTTACTTTTGCCCGCATTGTATATCAAGATCAAGCCTTCAAGATTAACAATATAAACATAATAGTTCTGATCTTTGTTCTGCCATTATCCCCGTCCAGAGATAACTGTTAATTGTTATTTATTAATTTAATTAATTCTGTGATTAGTTTAATTTTTAAGAAACATCTTGAATCATTTTCATTTAACAATTAACATATCCTAATATAAGAAAAATAGAAAAGTAATGATATTATTCCTTTGAATATGGGTTAAAAATAAACAATGAAATAGTAGCTCGTAAATTTTAGAATTTAATATATGCATCTAGCTTTGCATTTTTCGGGTTTAATGATGATATATTATGATTTCTGAATTTTCAAATATATTTCATATTTTAAAATTAAAATATGATATGATATTTCTACATTGACAAAAGTATCCTATGATGATAATAATTAAGCAGTAAAACTTAAAAGATTTTTGTCTCCTTCACAATCTTTGAAAACTCTTGAGTCAAACGCTTTTCTCAAGTCTAAACTACAAAATAAAGCAGAAATGGAATTTTCTCAAAAAGGGCTCCACATGGACTTCTAAAAATGTCCACGCTAGAATTGACATAAAGTCTGCTTCCAGAATCTGTAAAAATCTCAGGTGGCTCCTTTTTTAAAACCTGGCCTAGGTCATAGCTGTAGTGATCGGTGAGCCGTATGTGCTATTTAAAATTTGACAGTTTATTTTAAAATTGAAGAGAGATTTTTGAAAGATGGCTTAAGTTCTTATCATGATTTAGTAACGCGAATAGATATGAAACAAAAAGTAAACGATTTTTATAGTTTAGTTCATTCTTTGATTTGGTATTCTAAAGTACAATAAATATTTTTTCAAATTTAGCCATAACATATTTTAGATTTTTCTGGATATATCATCAAAATGTCATGTCTTCACTTACTAATATCTAGATAATTTCATGTGATTTGGAAACATTGTTGTTGTAATAATTCACAGAAGCTTACTATAGTTTCAGTAGACGTATATATTTCCATTTACGCATCGCGCCGATTAAAGGAATCATAACTCTAATTGGATAATGAGCTAGATATGAAAGATAGATGTTACCGCTGTACTATTTCTATTGGTTCAGATTAGACAACAAACACGTGACTGTACCCTGATTGGATCAGGCGCTAATGGACTCGGTATACAGGAGTGGAAGGGCTGGATTCACAACGGTGTTCGTAAAATCTTTATCTGATCATTCATTTCTTAGATATCATCGTTTTTCTAGTTGAAAAGTGCCCAATTCTGTCCATTTTTCCAATTTTTGTAAACAAGAAAACCAAAATTAAAAATTATTCGTTTTTGTGAATATAAGGGATATATATATCATGCCTTCTTGATAAGACAAAGCTTTTCCGGGTACCGTTGTGAATACAGCACGCCAGTCTTCCTTTTGATTGAGTAAATTTAATTTTATTTAAGTTTATTCTGCATTTTTGTAATTTTTTAGTATATGTGTGACTGTAGTGGTGCTAAATATTCATTTTCGTTCTCCGCAAACCCATACAATGGCGCCTTGGGTCAGGGAAGGATCATTATGCATTTACATTTGTTTTTAATATTCTCAATTTTTAATCTATATTTGACACACATTTTAAATACATAAAATAGTATATTTTTTCGATATTATAACTAGGATTTCCACAGAACCGAAACGTAAGAAAAAAAAGCCCGTGAACACTTACTATTCTTGCACTGAGGAACACCTAAAATAGGCTTAGTCGCTATTTCATCGAAGTTTTGATTTATTTTGACGACATTTTTTTCTAGCTAATATAAGTTATTTGATTTTCAAAAAGAAAATCTTAATGAGTTTGAAAATCATAATTAAGAATATTCATATCTTTCTTTATATGTATCAAAGAAAACTGGTGCAAGGTGATTGAGCAGTTTTATGAAAAAAGTCCCAAATACCATGATGATCCTCTATACAGGCGTGTTTTCATTCATATACTTCCTCGCTTGCTGGTCATGCGTCGACCTCAACCACAGTACAATCAGTGAGTATCAAAACTAGCATTTTTTAGAAGAAAAAAAATAGTGAGAACCATTTTAACTCTGGAATAGGAAGACGAGTTGTAGACTGAAGTTAAAACTGCGATAGTCCAATAAACATGAGACACAAAAAATTTGCGCTGGAAACAGACTTATTTTGTCTAATAACTGTTTTACTACATAAGTTAGCGGTATAACTGTTTGCTAAAACATCAAATACTAATGCTATAATATCGCCTTTCTATTCCACATTTTTCTGGTTCTTACTGTACGTTGTCGGTACGGGTCTTTAAAATTGTGATTAATACTTACATCATCAAAAAACTCCGACTTGCGGCGCAACTTTCATTATCAACATATTTTGTTGAAATTGAAATTACTAAACGTTTAGATGAATTTTACCCCATTTATCTGCATTGAAATTTAAAAAAGAAATCTTGTAACAAAATTTATTTTCATAATTTATCAATTTGTTTTTGTCTTGTAATATTAAAAATCAAGTGTCAGCTTTCAATGATACCTTTTTCAGCCGTTCAAGTAGTCAGAAACTGTTTGTAATATTAATATTACATTCTATACATTAAAATGAGCGGGTTTCAGCTTGAACAAATTTATTTTGCCTTATTTAGTATTCCTATATTCCTGATTGTGGTATGTTCAACCGAGGCTAAACTATTTTGTATGCAAATATTTTAAACCATCATCTTAGCTAAGAATGTATAATATTTGAAATGTATTTTTGTTTTTTTAAATATCACAAAAAAGGCCCTTCCTCTTTTTGTAATATTGTATTAATTTAACAGAATTCATAGTTTTAAACATCCTAGGTCTACGGCAATGGTTGTTCAAGTTTGTAAGACAAAGACTCAATTTCTTTTATCTCCAAGTCTCGAGTATACCAATAAAAATTAAAATGGGTTTCTAGTATTAAAAGAAAAGCGAAGACGTGAATCATAAAATGGATTTATTTTTCCATATTTTTCCCATTTTTGATGGAGAAAAAGTAATAAATTCCCATATTTGCCTTGAAATTGAAAATATTTGGTTCTGCCAATCTTTAAAATATTAAATGATGTTGTTGATGTGGAAAATTGAATAGAAGTCTGGTAGATGGGTTTACAGTCAGGATTCATAGTTTATGCCTGGATCTAAGGGATTACTATACCTGGGATTCACCAATAGGGTTTCTAGCGAAATGGGGAAATCGTTTAGCGCAATTTCGCATTTTTTTATTAAAATTTTCGCATTTTTTTGCAAAAATAAATTTCGCGAAATTGTGCATCGTTTTCACTGGAGTCAAACATTATAGAAAAAGAACGTATAGAAATTTGTTTCGCGAAAACGAAAGAAAACTGTACCAGTGAAAACTGGGTTGGAGTGGGGGGGGGGGAGGCTGGGGATTTCGAGATCTAATAGTTAACTATGCCATCTTTTATCCGATAGGCTTTAGATAATATGGGACACTGATGATTTTAAAGTATGCTTCAAATTCCTTTATTCCAATATTGTTTGTATTCAAGTTTATTATTCTCGAAATTTGTTTTATTTTAGTTTGGTGCATGAGAATGGTTATGGGAAGAAATGTCATATGACAGAAATACCCCAGATTAACTACGACTCAATCAGGTCAAACATTTAAAAAGTTTAAAAAAACTGATTATTTTCATTTCTTAAAAATAGCAATGGTGAAAATATTTATTTATGACTTTCAATTTGATAAAACTAAAGAGGTAAAATAGGAAAACTAAGACCAAATTATGTATAAATTTTCTTTTTAAAATGTGGAACTAGCAACTGCTGTCTATTTGTCAACTTTATATATTGTGGTTTTAACCAACATCAACTTCAAGTACACGCAAAAGTACAGTAAATTTTACAGTTTTAAATAGTTTTTTATCATTACTTGAAATGAAAGAACGAATGCATATCCACACCATTGTTGCTTGGGGAAGTTGTAAAGGGTACTGTTGTGAAGTGTACATATCACTTTTTCTACTAAGGGTCACTGTAAAATACGCTTTTGCTATTTATAATTTTTAGAAAACCTTCCCAGCACCTCATCATAACAGCTAGAGTTAAAAAATATTATTTCCTCCGGGAAAAATTATATTTTACAAAGGATACGAGTTTTTGCCACAAACTCAAATTTTTTAATCCCTATATCTTTGCAACCTTATGTCCTAGATCTTGGATATTTCAAATTATGAAGTCTGTTACATCCCAATACTTTAAGTTTGAAATATTAAAGGTTTACAGCATAAGTTTGCAAAGATATAGGGATTAAAAGACTTGAGTTTGCGGCGAAAACTCCGTTGATTTATCAGGTTTCAGACTATATTGAACGTACACAGTACGGGATTAAGTTTGCAAATATTGAATTGGAGACGCGTATATTTTAGAGCGGAAAATATAATTTCTCACTGCAAACTAGAATGCTTGAGAATCACATCACATCACGGGAGCAACTTATTTACCTCGTTTCTCCTCTAGTTTTCATATATTTTACACAAGTGTGAGGAAAGCTAATTTATTCGGTTAGATATTAAAACTTCAAAACATTCTATTCAATAATCCATCAATTTTATAAGTTTTTATTGAAAACATGAAAGATATCAATTTAATGTGCATTATACATTAGTTTAATGTGATCTTTATAAAATTCATAATTTTTATTTTTAAATTTTTTTCAGACGAGAGTTGTTACCAATACTTCATGGTGAGGACAAGGAGAGTTTACAATATAGTTCACCAATAAAACGGTAAGACAGTGCTAGAAAAAATAAAAATTATTCTGCAAAGAAATTATTATTATAAAAAGTAGAAATTATTATAAAAAGTAAAAATTATTATAAAAAGTAAAAATTATTATAGAAATAGGAATTATTATAAAAAGTAGAAATTAATTCATCAAATGTCACGCTTTTGGCTAAATCCTTAAGTCATTTTTACAGAGAAACCGCAGTTGATGAAAATAAATTTGTAGCTATAAAAAAAATTGAATATCTTAAATCATCATTATAAACACCAATGTAAATGTCAAATGTCACTTTAAAACTAGACTAAACATGAAAAATGGATTTAAAACGTAAACATAAACAAAAACAAACAAAAAACCAATATCCTTGAATTCTATTCAAATAATTTTATTTTCATAAAGGTTGAAACATGAACCTTCCTTACCCTCTATGCACTAATGTAAAGTCAGCAGAGACCCCCCCCCTGCGTATCTTTATTTTCTCCTATGAGAATTGAGAAAATAATGATGGGATATTTTCTTCCATCTTTTACCAATACTTTACCACAATAGACCTGACATACTGAGTAATAAAAAGAAATGAAATCCTGTATAGCAGATAGTTAGACAAATATCTTTAGATAGACTACACAATAGAACCATATATATAGTAGATAGTTAGACAAATATCTTTAGATAGACAACACAATAGAACCATGTATAGTAGATAGTTAGACAAATATCTTTAGATAGACAACACAATAGAACCATGTATAGTAGAAAGTTAGACAAATATCTTTAGATAGACTACACAATAGAACCATGTATAGTAGATAGTTAGACAAATATCGCTAGATAGACTACACAATATGATTTTGTATAGTAGATAGTTAGACAAATATCTCTCGATAGACTACTCAATATAATCATGTATAACAGATAGTTAGACAAATATCTTTATATAGACTACACTATATAATCATATATAGTAGATAGTTAGACAAATATCTCTAGATAGACTACTCAATATGATCGTGCATAGAAGATAGTTAGACTAATATCTCTAGATATAATACACAATAGAACCATATATAGTAGATAGATAGACAAATATATCTTGATATACTACAAAATAGAACCATGTATAGTAGATAGCTCTCTAGATAAACAATACAATATGATCATGTATAGAAGATAGACAGACTAATAGTTTTAAATAAACCTAAGCATGCACACCATGGTATGGTGTCCATGAAAAAAGATCCCAAACAGAAGGATGCAAATCATAAATAAATTGCTTTTCATAAAAAGACGCCCTTTAAAGTCTCTATTGCAGTGTAAAAATCATTAAAAACCACGGAGGTATACACCGGTGAATTATTTTAGTCTGTTATAACTTAAAGAACCTAACAGTAATGTCACTCAAAAACCGAAATTTGACGTGTTGCTATACTTGATTACTAAAATTTCTAAAACTCAGCCGTCTAAAAAGATATCCAACAATTGTTTTTTACTGTGCAATTAAATATCAAAGAGCATCTTTTTATAAAAACTATTTATAGGAGTTAAGGAAATGGGTTTTTGATGAATTTATTTGCTAATATTTTTCACGTTTGCCTCTAAATTTGTCAATAAAACAGTATTTTTTTAATAGTAAGGTGTTGAGTTTGAAAAAATAATTTACTTTTTTTACTCCCAGATGGAGCTGACGAAAGGTTAAAAAAGACGTGATTTTTCACCATTTTCTGAATATTTGACCATCAAAAAACAAACAATTTGAAAAACTATCTCAAATATCATCATAACGAAGTTAAATGATTTCTAAAATGAATTAAACACTTCAAAATCACTTTAAAATTGACAGAGTTAATCCTGTTTAGCCGAGAATGGTTAAAAAAGGCCACATATTGCTGGGCCATTCAGCAAAACCATTTTAAAATGCTAAAATTTCGTATTTGAGCTAGTTTTACCCTAATGCTTCCAAAAACATGTGTCGCACATTTTCATAAGAATTTTTTTGGATCTACAATTTTTCTATGTGAAATGGCTTTAAAAAGTTTGACTATGAACATGTTTCCCATTCCTTTTTATCAAAAGCAATAATGAATTAACTTGAAAATTAACGTTCTTATTTTAGGCACAACGGAATGATACTGAATTCTGGTGGTTGCAAGGAAATCTAACACAACATGTTTTATAATTTGATCTTTTTGGGCATTCAAAATTATTTTTATTTTTAGTAAAAAAACTATAATACATTGTTGCCTCTGAATGTTTTAACAAAGTAGAAAACAAAGCTGTGGAAGATTAGTTTTGGTTCAAATGAATTGAGCCTTTGCCACAAACTCAAGCTGTCTAAGCCATATTTCTTTGCAACCTGATAGTATAAACCTTTGATATATCAAACTTAGATTATTTTATCTAACAGAATTCATAGTTGAAATATCCAAGGTATACGACATTGTGATGCAAAAATAAAGGGTTTAGAACAGAAAAACTGATTTCTTGCACCAAACTCTAATTTTCTAATCTAAAAATCTTTGTAACGTAAAAATGCAAACTTTTGATTAAATATACCAGAGTCTGAATTCAATTAATTTGAGCCGCGTCTCAAGTCCACCAAAACCGGTTTCAATTGAGCGCTGTCTGAAATCTTGAAACGTTGAAGACAATTTTAAGTGGAACCAACCATATTTGAGCTGCGTCTCAAATTTAACCCGTGGAAATTCAAAGGATTAGAAAATTATAGTTTTGAGGCTAATATCAACAGTTCCTTTACTACAGGGTGTCCCAAAAAAAACGATCTTTAAGACATTGTAGCACTCGTCATGGTTCAATTTTTAAAAAATTATACATTTTTTAAATCTTTGGAACATTTCCGTTCGATTGATTTCAATTAGAGGTATGTAGCAGTAAAATTAAGAAAGTATTGACTATTTGAAGTTTGTCATTTTGGCTTGGTTGAGTTCATGAAATGATTTTGGCTCAGTTGAGTTCATGAATTGATTTTTTCGAATTTTAAAAAAAATATGGAACTTTATTAGTGTCTGAAAAACATTCAAATCTTCTAAACAATCTTAAAAATGTGTAATTATTGTTTAATAATGGCAATACCTCAGTTTACAACACAGGAAAGAAACTTCCTTGCTTTTGAGTATCACAAAAGAAAGGATCACAGAAACTTTATGCCTGGTCTTATCATGGACTTTGGGCGTAAATTTCTCAATGCAAGACAGCCTGCTTTATGTCATGTCAGAAGCATTTATAAAAAGGCAATGGAGCTAGGGACAGTTAACCAAAACCAAGAGATTTAAACGAGTTAATACTGGCCTTAGAGAGAGCATGTGCTAGAGGATCCCGTTGATATGTGCAGAAGAGCAGTTACGGATGTAAAGGAATAGAGCAGAAAAATGTATTGCAAACCATGGGGGGCATTTTGAGTAGAAAGACCATAAACATGTATTTGTATCAATATTCTATATCATTTTTGTAATTGTAAACCATAATTTTCATATATTGAAATAAAAATATTTACTGCTACATACCTTTAATTAAAATCAATCGATCGGAAATATTCCAAAGACTTAAAAAATGTTCAATTTTTTAAAAATTGAACCATGGCGAGTGCTACAATGTCTTAAAGATAGTTTTTTGGGACACCCTGTAGCTTTTAAAAAGTTGAAGGAAGAAAAAACATTGGTAACTTGCTGTATAATGAATTCTTTCATTTATCACTGAGGACTTTGCAGCTGACATATTCTTTCTTATTACTTTACTATTATAATGTACATGACTTTATTATTATAATGTACATGACTTTACTTTCATAATGTACATAACTTTACTGATATACTGTGCATAACTTTACTATAATAATATACATGACATTACTAATATAATGTACATGACTTTACTAATATAATGTACATGACTTTACTAATATCATGTACATGACTTCACTAATATAATGTACATGACTTTACTAACTAAATGAAAATACACGACATTACTAATGTCTTCAGTTATCTATACAACATGTGTTTGGATAAAAGGTACACGGAGATATGAATTATGATGAATCTCCCAGTCCCTTGCCCTCACTACCCTCACTACCTGCCAGTCCAGATCTTTACCAGATCAGAGAAGAAAATCTTTGCCCGGAGTTACTGCGGGCTGTGGAGGGGGTTAAATATATTGCTGATGTTACTAGAAGGGACGAGGAATCTAATAAGGTATATAAACAAAACATACATTGCACTGGAAGAGGATCATTTATTAATCGTACTCTCCCGTTTTGCCTCAAATAGTTTGTTTACTACACTAGCTAGCTGCTTGCCTACTCTAGCCTCACGGTGGACTAGGCCAGTGGGGTCAGTCAAATAGGCTTAGGATTAGGCCGGGTACTGTAAGAAGTCTGAACGCGTCATAGGAGTTGTCATAGTTAGCCCTCCGACGGGACTATGTCAAGCAAATTGACCCCTGTCATATTTTAGTCTGGTTAGGGCAACGTACTGTACCATAGGATCGGGTCAGTACACGCTGTTATCTGGCAGGCCGGTGCAAACTGGGCAGGTCCTGTTCGAATTTAAATTTACTACGACCCAGAGTGGCCTGGTATTTTAAATGAACCTGTTTTGATAGTCACAAGGGTCAACAGTTATGCGCCGAATCTATGGCTCTTGAAATCGATATCCACAGTGGACACTTTAAATTTAACAATTTAGTTCTCAATGTTTTAAAAACAGCTGAATCGTATTTTTGCGATCTCCAATTGGCCTTTAGAGGTATCAAGAAGGAATGAACATAATCCGTCGAATGTTTTCTCAAGGGATTGATAATACAGAAAAGTTCCGAAATAACTACTGAATTGATTAAGGATGTTGAATGCTAAATATATGCTGCAAAATGCTTCATTTTCATTAGTCACTGCCGTTGAATGCTTCGGATCCTCGGTTATAACAATAATATTTAATAAGAATGTATTTAAATCTGTATTTAGTTTTACGAGTGGCTTAAAGGGACTGTACGCGTAATTTTAAGTGACCTTCTGTGGAAAAATGACAATTCCCAATTCACAACGGTACCCTTAAAACCTTTGTCTGATCAAGTATGAATTAGCATCTTATTAATTGTGGTTTCATTACAAAAGTGACTTGCGCATTTCTACTGCAAGAAAACACGAGGGAATTATCAGAATTTAAAATGTTTAAACCTGAAAAAAAACGACTATATCTTCTACATTATTGATCAGATTGTGAATCGGGCATTTTCATCTTTACATGGAGAATCACCAAAAAAAATGATTAAAAAATCTAATCATGGGCTATGAACCTCTCTGAAATTAATTAATATTGTGTAACTACAATTTTAAGTCAACTTATGTATTTTCTTTAACTACCATTTTACCAGACAGAAAATAATATAAATTGATTTTAGATAAGCGATCAAGTATAGAGGTCCTCTAGATAACACGTTTAGATAAGGGATCAAGTATAGAGGTCCTCTAGATAACACGTTTTTCCGTTTAGAAACAAATAATTCTAAATGTTCCTTAAAAAAAGAATGTAAATTATCGATTTTATTTTGGCCAAAAAGGTTTAATATTTGTATTTGTTTTAAGGTGAAGGAGGATTGGAAGTATGTAGCAATGGTGCTGGATAGGTTATTCCTCTGGATTTTTACTATAGCTGTACTAGGTAAACTTTCTTTACCTCTTAAAAAAATTGTTCAACTCAAGTATCTTTATATATAAAGTTGTTATCTCTGTTTGGGTGTCTGTCTGTAAGTCTAGAACCCCTGGACTGACTTCTTCAAATTTTGATTGGGGTACTCGGGAAAGTCACAGGAATATTCTAAGCTTGGTTTTGAGATTCTTAGTTGAGTGAGAACTAGATAAAATCGTAATTTACGACACGGTGCCCTGCGTGTAAACGCTGGGACTAACTATGACTCCCGTGGTCCAAGCTGAGTTCCCAAACTATATTATTTAACAATATTGAAATGTTTGCGCGTTCATTAGATATTTGTTATTTTCTTTTCAATGAAAATGGAAATAAAGTTAAAAAGTAGAATTTACTTTCTAAGAAGTTGGATTGGAAAATTTCGGAAAAATTGTCAGGAATTTCCGCAAAATTGTTGACTTAGGATGTATACCAAGGACTTGTAAACAAGAATTTATATACAATCAAATATGATTTTTAATCATATTCTCTGTTGATATTTTTGTATCCGATGATTTATTGTTATTATTGTTTCAGTTGGTACTGCAGGCATAATTCTCCAAGCTCCAACACTGTATGATACTAGACCAGCAATAGACCAGAAACTGTCTGAAATAGACATAAATCTTAAACCTCCGGCTCAACCTTCAATAATTACCACGGACTAATCAATATACAATATACAGGGTTTATGAACTCAATAAGTACAAAAGTGATTAATATAGTTATTCCTGGTCATTTTATAAATAGTAATTTGAAAATATCATTTTAAATAGAATAAGAATGGTTTTGTATCAAAACAAGATTTATTCTAAATACACTCTTTGGTTTTGTTGTTTTTGATATTTACATGATCGATTTCAACATTTACGGGCCGTCAATATAGTTTCAAGTGACATTGCCTTTTTATAGTGCCATGGGAGATTCACAACGGTACCCTTTAATAATAATCTATTTAATTTTGATTGATAAATCTATACTTTTACTTGGATTAGAGGAAATATGTTAGTGTACATTGAGAGGAAACCATTAATGAAAGACAAAGTACTAAAACCCTGCAAATAAACATCCACCTCTGAGCTTAAAAAAACGGTATCGCTGTGAATTGTTATTTGTCCTTTCATTGTTATATTTTATCATTTTTTCCATAAAAAAACTGTTTACAGGTATTGCAGTCCTTCACAGTAATTATGATGTATTTCAACAAACCTGGAATTCTTTAAAATAATTTACATTAAACATTTTTTTCAGCATATATTCTAAAATTGGTAAACTCAAAATATGGTTATAAAATTACAAAATAGAGTTTAAGGAATCATTTTTTGGCTCACAGTAGGCCCAATACTTTTTGAATCAATGGGGATTCTCCCCCCCCCCCAGCAGGAATATGTTTAACTGCTGACGTGTCTGTGTTACACTATGATTTAGGCAATTAATAATTTATTAGTAAAATGTGATTTTAAAGAAATGTGGTTTGAAATTGTGTAATAACTTTATTTATGACGACATTTTGAAGGCAGAATCTGAAGGTTACATTTAGTCTTCATAAACGTAAAATACATTTACCCTGAGGCCAAATTTTAAGAATTTGAGCTGCGTCTCAGTTGGAATCGGTTCAGAGACGCGGTGTAAATTCTTAAAATTCGGCCTCTGATAAACTAATAATATAAACCCCTTGACATTTTATAGGTCTTTACAATTTTTGTAATCAGAGGTTGAAGAATTTGGGTTGAAAAGTTTTTATTGAAATTCCATCAGCAGTTTATTGTATGCAATATGGATGCAGTTTTTTGAAAATTCAAAAGTTTTTGAAAGTTCCAGGTTTCAGATCTTGTTTGCATTTGTAGTTAAATGAAACCATGTAAAAATTTGTAAAATTCTAGCAAAATATAGAAATTTAATTTTTTTCTTTTTATATCTTTTGACGACAGAGTGTAGGGAGGTATCACACATTATATAATGTATAAAGCTTATTTAATGAATCTTCTATTCAATTTATAATTTTTTTTGTGAGCATCTCTTCGTAGGTATATCTATATGTAGTAAACGCCTACTCCATAACAATTTACTCTAGACGTATCTATCCAGGTCTACTAGTTAATAAGATCAACCAGTACTAACTCGACTCCGGTTCTAAAGAATTTACAGTCCAAATCTCAACCAGGCTTAACTCCCCAGTTGTAAAGGACACACAGTCCAACTGAAATGGCTACACAGGCAATTTCTCCCCTTGTACTGTTTCAACGAGTACCAAAGCTTGGTTTCAAGCTTACTTTGGCTTCTGATAACATATTCTCAGTCAACTGATCTATATTTCGTAGTTCATATTAGATTTGGGTTATTTACAGCGTAATAACAAGGTATGAGCAGTTACTATCTATAACGCATTAAATCACATTTATGGATATGACGAACTTATATCTATCTAAGAACATGGAATGGGTTAATCGCATTACAGAATGTGCGTAGTTAATATGTGACCGAATGACGACGTATATATTATATTAGGCCACAAGTTTTGCTACAAATATAGCGGTTAGACCAATTTTAAATTTTTCTAGACTATGTGCCGTCAGAGTCTTGACTAGATATATCATTGAAAAATTATTCCTTCTGGGTTGAATTTGTAAAAATATGAATTTCTAGAGATAAAAGATAGTTCTTTAAGTATTTTGGATAATCCCTTTCATGAATGACAAAGTTGATAAGTTGAAAACCTTAAAATATCTATTTGTTTTAGCAAAATTTCAATTTTCGTCTCAGTTTTATTCATTCAAATTTATTTCAGGGGAAATTAGTTCCAAAACCAACACTCGGCCCAATTCTAACACTGAGTTATAAAAATGGGCCAAATCTGCAAAAATGGATAAAACTATTTATTGAAACGATAAGTATAAATTAATAATAAGATGAAAGAATTAGGTTTTGATGATACTTGGTTTCATTTTGGAATATATCCCTATTTTAAAACAACTACCGCACTTCAGCTCATTTCTCGTTTTTGGAACATATCCTAAGTTTGAGACAATTACTCGTGTTCATGTCAATGTCAATTTTCAAGCATTTAACCAACTACGTAACAAACCAATATTTTTTGATAAAGTAAAGTATAAACAAAACAGAAATAACTATTATAACACTGTCATTTTAGTTCGCAGTATAGTAAAATTTTTGGACAGAAATTTTCTCTTTATCGATTTAATAATCCAATAAGGCGAGAACCTTCGAGACTTAGCGAAAATTTATATCAAATTATTTAGATTTGACATATCAAAGGTTTACTCCAGCAGGTTGCAAAGATATTGTTCAGAAAATCTTGAAATTTGTCTCAAAATAGCGTTGATATCACTTATAAAATGCTTGCTATGATCAATTAGATTATCAATTGTACAAGAATCTAATTGGCTATGATGGTATTCGTTTCTATTTAAATTCCCAACTTAAAGTTCTCTGTTTTTACTTTAGCAAAGAATTTTGTAAACATAGAGTACTGAGTTTATAAACATCATCTATCTTGTTGGATTGAAATCCCTCTCTCTAAAATCATTTTAATTTAATATTTTATCTATATAATAAAAGAAAATATTCGTATATATGTTCCATATAGCCGTCCAAAAGGCTTGACCGAATATAGGCTGACATTTTTGTAGTACCTCATGGGTAGCTTGATTCGATTTTTTTCAAAATAATATTTTTTTTCATAATTTTGTTTTCCTACGGGCAACGCCGGGCATTTCAGCTAGTTTTATAGAAGAAGTCTCAGACGGAAAAATGGAGGTAAAATTACGTGTAGCATATTTTTGTTTCGAAATTGAGACAGGTTGAAACATATTTGACAATGATTCAGCATTTCTATTTCTATTGAATAAGAATTGAAAATCTACCCCTAGCTGTAAAAGTAATAATTATATATTCTATTCACACACAAAGATATACATACTTATATTGGTCTAGTTTAAATTTGTTTAGATATTTTGAAAATATAGTTTTACAAAAATAGGCGAAATTTATCGTTACTCATTACAAATTTTTCCCGGGGTCGAGCCGTTTGGCCAGCTAAAGCTAACACATGTGCATGCACATCTAGTATGTAAGATAAGACAAGATATATTCTTAAAATTCATTGACGGTGATGGACCAAACCTCTGTAGAGTAAAAAAGACATTTAATGAAAATTTATTTCGGTCTGGGTTAACCCTCGTCAGTTCTAACAATATAAAAACAATCAAAATCGGTAAAAAAAAAAAATTTTAAATTTTAAAAACCACAAGAAAATAAACAAACAAAAAAAAGATTATTTTTAAAAAAAATTGGGGACTGTCAAATGGAGATAAGGGAAACGAACTCATATTATGAGATGGAAAAAAGATAATTTGCAAATACTCACTTTAAAAAAAAATTTTTAAGAAAATTATTATTCCATGAGATTGTTTCTGCCACAAAGATAAAAACAAACTGTTTAGATGTATATGTATAAAGTGGTATAAAGATATATTCTATTGCTAACAATAATTAAAACAATTGTAATGTTACATGCACAAAATGTTTACATATGAACTATGGCAAGTAGATGGAGATTACTTTACACTGTTTTAGGTATTATCCCCATCTAATAAATTAAAGTTAAACTTTTACAAGATTTTGAATATTACTATGGATTTTAAAGTTTACAGTAGGTTGAATATAACTATAGTTTGCCAAGGTGCTTCATAAAAGGTAAATTAATTTTCAGTTTTTAGTTTTGGATGTTTAAGCATATACGAAAGTCTAACCATTATTTTGCAAAAATGTCAATAAATGGTTCAAATTTTAATCTTCCAATTGTATTAAGATATACTGCAATTGAGCGGAATGTTTTTATAATTCAAATGATAGACATGATCATTCAGCGGTTTGAATTTACATTATATTATAAATAACTTCTTTAATAATTGTACTGTATCCTCCCTTTTATCCGTCTTAACCATCTTTAAACATGTCAAAAATGATTGTTAATTACTGAATCGCGTCATTACAGTGTAGCTTTGAAAATTCGTTGTAAAACATTAAAAACCGACCAATCTTAACCTTTTTAAATTGTAATCTGAATATTTTTGTTTTTGTTCCTTTTACGCAGTTCTTGTTCAGTTCTTGGACATGTTAACCCCCCCTGAGATCACTTTTTAACTTTAACATTTTACTTTAAATTCCAGAATTTCTTGGAGATCAATTTGTTCAATCAAATCCAAAGTTGAAACAAAGTTCTCCATTTTCCTTTTCTTTTCAAATATTCTTCATTTTATTTCTTTTTTTTCTTATTGGGATACAGGTTTGAAAGCCCTTGGGCTCTAATTCAATAAACTACAAAAATGTAGTGGTTTAGCAAAAAAATGTTACACAAAATTTGGACAAAATGCGACAAATATACATTTTTGAAAAGCCCTGGATCATGCAGCGAATTATAATGTGAATAAAGTATTTCTTTCAATTTGTATGTGTTTACAAGAAAAACTGAAAAAGTGCTAATTCCCTTTAAACTATAGGTTTAAAAGCCCTTAGCCTGTAGTGGGGAGAATGTGTTACTAACACAGCCAGAAAATTTGAACTCAATATGGGGACCCTCCCCTCAGTTCATATAGGGTTAGCCCTTATTCTATTGGGGGGGGGGGGGGTTAATTGTTTGACATTTCCTTATTTTAGACTAAAAGCTGAGCTGGCTAATAAACCAACTGCCTGAGTACTTGGATCAGAAATTATGCCTAATTGCCTTAATTTCTCTATACCAAAACATCTTCTTCCAGACTCGAGTCTTTGTAAAGTTGTTTACACAATTTTATAATGGCAAATCAACTCAGCTCTCGCAACAAACTCAGATTATCTAACATTTATATAACTATTTATATTTCAAACTTAGACTGTTTGGTTTGGTCTGCAGAATTTAAAGTGTTTAAGCATCAAAAAAAATCAACTATTAGGTTTCAAAGATATAAGGAATGGAAAATTTGAATTGGTGGCAAGTGTTCAGTTACTTTTTTAAAAAATTGCATTATTTGAGAAACTTTTAATAAGGAATTTGGTTAAAATAAACATAAATCTTTTTTTAACCCTATTCCCGCTGGGGGGGGGTATTTTTTAGAATTGTGTTTCATATAAGAAATGATATTAAGTCTTAACTAAATTTAATTTTATTTGATATAAAAATATTTTATATTATAAAGTCTGTAGAATGTAATCGTCTGCGTTGGAAATATATAACTTGAGTTGGTGGATAAAACTCAATTCATAAATATCATAAAGACATTTAAAAATAGTTTATGAGGCTACAAAAAAAAACAGCAATAATAAAGACACTAAAACCCTCCTTAATCATGAGGAAACTAAAACCTTCTTGATCATGAGGACATTACAACCTGCTTAATCATGAGGGAAACTATAAACCTTCTTGATCATGAGGACATTACAACCTGCTTAATCATAAGGAAACTGAAACCTTCTTGATCATGAGGACATTACAACCTGCTTAATCATGAGGAAACTAAAACCTACTTAATCATGAGGACATTGAAACCTACTTAATCATGAGTACACTAAAACCTACTTAATCATGAGTACACGAAAAACCTACTTAATCATGAGGAAATTGAAACAAGCTTACTCATGAGGAAACTATTAAAAAAATCATAGATCCAATGACTTTCAAACAAAAAAACAAAATTATCGTTAGTTTTTATCTATAGGAATGAAATAATCTACTTAGATGCTAATTAAGTCTCATCCTTTAATCTCGAGAGTGGAAGAGGGGTGCAGTTGGCCGACATTAAGGCAAGTAAAAAGTTTATTTGGCTGAGGAATGAATGCAAAGTTTATCAGTGATAAATGAATTCTTGAGTACAGAGTACATCGATAACATCAGCAAAATTTCACCAT